AGAAGGGTGGTGGGGACACGGGTGATGTGGGGACACAGGGAGCTGCCCAGGCCGTGTCTCCAGCCACCACACTCACCCGGTGCCGCTTGCTCTCTGCCACCTAGGGCGGTGGCGCCACCGGGAGCTCTGTTGGGGTCCGAGAGCTCTGTTGGGGTCCTGTGATGCAGCGTGGGGCAAGGAAATCTCCCTCCTAGGCAGTGGGTGCTTTGTTTCCTTCCTCAGTGCTGTTCCCTTCTCCTTGGTGACAAGGCACCGCCACAAACACTCCCCATTAACCCTCCAGCGCCTGCTCCTTCTCCAGTCACCCTAGAGCTGGATTTTCCTGAGGTCCCGGCTCTGGGGCAGGAGGGGGTTACAGAACAGCTCTTCAGCACCCCGAGGTGCTCACAACCCCAAAAAAGGGGGATCTGTCCCCTCCCCGCCATCCCTGCACCCACCTCCACCACAGCTGGGGTGGCCTGGAGCTCTGCAAGATGCATCTGCAGGGCTTGGTACCCCTGAATTCATCGCCCTGAGGAAGCTGCCTTATTGCACCCATTTTACAGACTTGAACACTCCACTGAGATGCCACCACTGCCTTTGCAAGCCAAAGTGTGCCCTGGTGAGAAGCCCACCTGAGCTTGAGGGCTCGTATTGCCCAATGGTGGGAGCCCTGCAGCGTCCAATGTGCCAGGGCTCAGCCCGAGCTGCAGGAAACGCAGCAGCCCCACCCGCAAATCACAGCACAAATCCATCAACCCTTTCTGTGAAAAAGAAAAGAGAAAAGAAAAGAAAAGAAAAGAAAAGAAAAGAAAAGAAAAGAAAAGAAAAGAAAAGAAAAGAAAAGAAAAGAAAAGAAAAGAAAAGAAAAGAAAGAAAAGAAAATTTTAAATTAAAATAAGCACGAGGAGGGTTTATTTGCCTCCTTGTCTTTGAGGTTTCTTTGCACTATGGTCCCTTGCAAACTTCTTTCCGAATTGCCCGTGACAGGGAGGTCTTCAGCAAAGGCCGAGCTCCTCCGGGGGTGTCGGGACTCCAGGAGCTGGGGCTTTAAGCACAAAACCACAGCGAGTGGGCACTCGCTGCAGATCCCGGCCCAGCCAGCGTCAATTTGGGGGAGGAAATGCAAGAATCCCAGTTATTCCCTGTGCTGGGCGGGGACCTGACCCTGATTTTCAGCCAGGACGCCCAGTGGGGATGACCACACAGCTCAGGGTGCAGGTCCACCTTCCCCAGGGTCCCCCCACACTCACCCCCAGCCCTGGCAGCATTGCTCGTGGCCCCAAGGCATCCCAACACCACACGGCCCCTGGAAACACCGTGGTAAGCGAGGGAGGAAAAGGAAAACCCAAAAAAACAGGAGAGGACTCGAGGTTGCCCCATCCTCAGCCTCCAGTCCCATGGCAGGGATGCCCAGCACTCTCCTAAGGGGACACGAAAGGGGACAGTGACCTGACAGTGCAGAGCTGCAGCTGTGGAGGACCCTGGGGACCCATAAATCCTCCTGTCTCCAAAAAGTGGTGCATGGAGCAGCAGTCACTGCTCTTGTGACCCTGCTCGGCACCAAGAGCAGACGTCCGGACAGCAAGACCTTGTCCAGCGCCAGCCTTCCCCATCAATCCCCCCAGTCAGCAGAAGATTTGCTTTGAAAACAAACACAGAAGTGTGATATGAAAACAAGCAGAAACCCCAACACTGCATATCCAGAAGTTTGTTTTATTTGCCGTCGGGTCTCCAAGCCCTCGCAGCTCCCTGGAAGCAACGTCGCCTTATTATCATTCAATTCGAAGTGAAAATGATGTGGCCCCATCTCTTTGGCAACACTGGAAGTCCCCTGAGATTTTTAAGCTGCGCTAAGAGTCCTCTGGGCTGGCTCAAAACCACATTGGTGCCGTCGCCTGCAGGGACAGAGCAGGGCACAGACGCTTTCTCTGAGCACAACCCTTACCAGACACCAGAGAACCTGCCCAGCATCCCAAACCCACCCAAAAGCCAAACTGGGATGCTCCTGCCCTCAGCAGCACCGTCCCACAGCGACAGGGCCAGCAGCTCAGCCACACCTCCTGCTCCCCTCACCCCAAAAAGGGCTTCTACACCAACACGTGCTGCTTTCTCCCCAAAAATCCTACAGTGCTGGTGTCTCTGCCTCACCACAGCTCGGATGGGAGTGCAGCCCAGAAAAGCACCCACAGGGCATGGGCACGTCCATCCCTGAGCGAGGGGGCAGGAGAGGGGGCTCTGCGTGCACAGCGAGGGCAAAGCTCAACACCAGCCCATGTTTGTGTCCGAATGTCTCTTTTTTTCCCTTGTTTTCACCAGGAAATATTCCCAGGCTCTCATTTAAAGCCACCCAAGCCCCAAGCCAAGCAATGGTGAGGCGCCTCTCTGCTCGATCACAGGAAAACAACAGTTAAGGTATCGTCGAACCCCTATTTCGCTTTGAAAAAGAAAAGCATAACGACATCCTGAGCGCCACCAGAAACGGGGGAGTTTGCAGTCTCCGCGGCTTACACCTTTTTTGTGATCTTTTTTTAAAAAATATTGTCTCCCAAAGCTTGCAGCCCACACGGCTGCAGCAGACCCATGGGGCTGCCCCATCCCGCATCCCCAGGGCATCGCTCCATCACCTCCTGGCTCCAGCCCTCTGTGGGCAGCCCCAATCTTTGCCAAACCATCCCCAAAAACGGCTCCAGAGTCAAATAAATTGGGATCCGGGCAGGGGTGAGCGAGGGCGGCTTCAGCCCCCTCCCCGGTTCACCCCGCTCTGCTCAGAAAAGGACTTGCCCGCTGTTTGCGTCCCAGCAGCCCACCCAGGGCAGTTGGGTGGCCCATTTGCCGGTGGCCACCACTCTCAGCTTGGCCTGGTCGAATTGCCAGTAGTGGTCATCCCGAAAGAAGTAGAGGAAGCCATCACGGTGGGAGAGGGCGCCCGCCGTGCCAGGGGGCAGCCCCCCCCAGTCCTGCAGGCTGCGGGGGTAATAGGGCTCCACGCGCAGGGTCT